GGGGGGAAAGAATTGGGGAAATAGAACGAAAGGGGTGGCGGGAATTGGGGGAAGAGATACGAGGGAATTGGAATATTCTGGAGGGAGTCTCAAATTATAAGGGGGAAAATACTAAAACCTATTGAGGGAATAATTAAAGTCTGATTATCGAATTGTGGCGGTTCTAACCGTCGCAATATGAAATAATCGCCCTTACACAAAAATTTTAATCCGGCGGGTGCCGAAACGCCATTTTTTATTTTATTTTGTGGCGGTTATATGGAACCGCCGTAATATAACCGCCACAATAATTTCCCCTTTTTGTATTGATACCTTAACTTTATAAACAGTGCACGAGATCCAAGTATGATATAACTGTTAAAACTACACCAATTATATAAAAGATATTTATAGTGCGAATACTTAAAATATAAATTCTATTTACATATATTGGCTTTTGAATTGCCGCCAAAATCGGGAACTATGCCTTCCAAGCAAATTGGTAGAGATATTCCTTACCACGGATTTACAGATAAAGAAAAAAACGGAATCTTATAGAAATATCTCTAATAAGTTCCAACTTACGGACCTTCAACCATTAATCATAGGCTTATCAAAACTAATCAAACATATATAAAAACTGAAAGCACAAATAAAAAATGTTCTTTCTCTCCAAGAATCACACACAATGATCTTCGATATTTTTAAGCGTGATTAGCAAGATTAGATGCATGACGGAAATAAATCTCATGGATAAAGGACCTTTTTCGATAGGTATTGTTGAGATTCATTGAAAACATATAAATGAGTCAATATACAAAATTTGAGGAAGACAAGAGGTGAATTTGACTGGTTTAATATCATAATTCGTAGTTAAAATCGAGTTCAAAAATTCTTCTGCGGCACATGTATCACGCATGTATCTCACACACAGTATACATGGATATACATGTGATACTCATTTGATACAAATATGATACATATGTGATACACAAATCATTTTTTTCATGTTCGTCTTTTACTTCGAACTTTCAATTCAAACCACCTCAAAACTCCACCAAATCATCCCAAAACTGAGATTCAAGCTCCTAGAGATGTACCCAATCTATTTTAATAACACTCACTCAAAATAAAGCAAAAATGTGTTCTTTTTTGGCTACAAATAGCTAAGTGGCTAATATTGGTTATATTTGTCTAAAAGTAATAATATTTTATGAATTGATTAGTTTTTGCAATAAGCTACTTATAAATGTACATATATATTTTTCCAGAAAAAAAATTGTAGCAAAAAAAAGTTTAAAAAAAAAAATTAAGCCCGTTGGTAAAATTGATCTAAGAAGCATCAAGGTTAAAAATATTCTTCAATCAAGATATTTCAAAGATCTAGAGATCTTATTATTGGTTCTCATTTTAGATTGAATCCAAAATATAATGTTTAAATTCCTTCATGTTTAGTCGATCATGTGAGAATATCTTGAATAATATTATTTTAGTTTTCACTCTAAAATTTGGTGAATCACTTTTAGGTGTTTCAAAATATTTTTGCAGTATTTCTATGTAAGGTTAATTCTGCTTTAATTAAGGAGCATGACTGATCTCGTACGCTTGACTTCTCCACCGCTGTTCCACCAATACCGCCTAAACCCCCTGATCCACTACCATCAAACTCTATGTCATCACCAAGTTCTGGCCCTCTTCATAGCCATGAAAGGCAGATAGGTATGAATATAGATATGCAGGAGCCATCTTTGGACTCACCTCCCTTACCAAAATCTTATTTACAATCCCTAAAATCTAATACTGTGGATTCTGCATCAATTATGGCTTTCTCACCATCTTTTTCTCCGTTGGAGAATTTGGGAGAACTGGATGCTCCTGATGATCCTGATATATTTATACCATTATCTGTGGAAGATAAAAATAGACTGAATCAGCCATGGCAACATGCAGTCATTATCAAGGTATTTGGACGAAAAGTGGAACATCAAATCCTTCGCCAAAAAATATATGCGTTATGGAAACCCACTGAAAATCTCCCTCTTATTGACTTAGGATCAGACTTTTTTCTGTTAAAGTTTCAAAAAGAGGAAAATAAAATCCATGGCTTACAGGGTGGTCCTTGGTTTGTTCTCAATCATTTTCTCTCAGTACGACAATGGGAACCTAAATTTAGAGCGTCTGAGGCAAAGTTGACAACTTCTGTTGTTTGGTTACGCTTGCCTGAATTGCCTACGGAGTATTATGATTATCAAATTTTGCATAAGTTAGGTCAAAAAATTGGTAAACTATTATCCGTGGATAATTGCACTGCTTCAACTACAAGGGGTCAATATGCTCGTTTATGTGTAGAAATACTCCTTGATCAGCCCTTAAAGACTCACTTATATATTGGTAATCACAAACAAATTATACTCTACGAAGGATCAAATTTACTTTGTATAAAGTGTGGTCGCATGGGACATAATCAGAAGACTTGCCCTTACCTTGTTAACATTGAGCCTACCAAAGCAGTGTCCCAAAAGGATCAACATATGGATGTGATTAATTCTAATCCTGCCACATCTCAGCCAGCAAATGGAGAATGGAAGCTTGTGCAATTTGCGAAGAAATCTGGTATAAGAAGATCTTCCTATAATAATGATTACATGCAAATGTTGCATGCAGTGGAGCCAAATGATCAGTCAGGTAAGTATGGAAAACTTCGCCCTAATCACATTTCGTTTACTAACTTAACTTTATCACAAGACACTAATCCTAAACTTCCAAATTCTAAACTGCCTACCTCCCTTAATCAAGTTCCTATTAATAATAAGTATAATACCTTACTTAAGGCTAACTCTGAAAATGATAACACCTTCAATTTAGGGTCTAATAATAATAATAATCAATTAAAACTTTCAAAGACCACTCAAGTGCCTAAGCACTCGGTCCAATCACAACAAAATTCAAACCCTACTTCTACTATAATATCTAGCCCTATTACTACCCATGCATGCAGCCACAATGACCACTCCCACATGCAATACATATCCCAATACCCAACCACATCTTCTTCACTTATACAAGAAATATCAAATACACCAATACCTAATTCTCCACCTCCTCCTTTGAACGCCGAAATGGCACCATCATTTCCAATTACTGTTGCCATGCAAAAATACCATAATGAGTCCCCCCCCCCCCCCCCCCCTCAATCTTCAGTCCAAGACACCACCCTCTTGTCAATCTAGTGAACCGCCTCCTTCACCCATTGGATTTGTTCCATCCCCACTATCACCTTCCCATATAATATCCACTTCTTTGACCCCTCCACTCCCACAATCCCTCACTCAAGACCATGTTTCCCTTCAATTTTCTTAGCCATCTTCGCCGGCCAAGAGCTCAACCAAGGCAGTCCACTCAACAGTTACGTCACAATCCCAACTCTCAAGCTCTACCACTACCTCATCTAATAATGGAACTAAATACGATAATTTACACGGCACAAACACCCCATGCACTAACCGTCTTAGCATCTTGGTTGGAAGCGGGATTACACAATCATGCCTTGACCTTCACCATGGAGGTGAATCAACAGGAAGTGACGGTTTTGATCAACCATCCACGAGACCTGTCTTAAATAGTCACGGAGGGGATGCAATTAGGGATAGAGCTTTACTCTCGGTACCATTGGTCAATGATGCAAGCCCCCCATCTTGCACCATATCAGCCATTGCCCTTACCCTCTCCAGTCTGGAATCAAAATCACCTCCATCCCAGCATTATACACATGCTATTTTACCCACCTCCTACTCCAAACACCCCTTGGATCCAACCATTACTGGGATCCTCAACCACACACACCTCTACTGAGGCCAGCAACTCCACCTTCACCAACACCACCTCCCCCTCCTTGTCACGACCCCAACCCCGGTCGTGATGGCGCCCAACACACTGCTAGGCAAGCCCGACCACTTAGACAACCTTAACCAATTAATCACAGTGCATGAATAAATTAACATACTGAATTACTATGTCAAATGCTGAAATTCTGAAATAGATTCAAACATACGGAAAACCCAAAATATAAAATGACTACACAGCCCGTAGAATCCGGTGTCACAAGTCTGAGCCTCTAATACATGAGTATCAACCTACTACATATCGTCCTCTAGAAATGTGGAAACAAAATAAATAAGATAGAAGGAAGATCAGGACTGCGAACGTCAAATGCAGCTACCTTGAAACTTCCAAATGTGATGCTAGGCAAAGAAGTCCTCACTCAGCCTCAGTAGTACCTGGATCTGCACGCAAAGTGCAGGGAGTAATGTGAGTACTCCGACCCAGTGAGTAATAAACATAAATAAAGACAGAGAGCAAGAAATCCTGAATAGGCACAAGGTAATTCTATAAATACAGTACCTTGAACCCAGTAGCATAAAATCAGTAAAATAGTGAAAACAATTATAGAAATATCACAGCAGATAAAGGAATAAATGACAATTACAAATATGTAATGCAACACATAGACCGGTACTCTCCAGTACCCGCTGCGGCGTGCAGCCCGCTCTATTTATTTATCGTCGACGGCGCTCACTGGGGGTGTGCAGACTCCGGGAGGGGCCCCATACGGTCCAAGCGCAATAATAAGCCATATTGTGGCATCAACTAGGCCCTCGGCCTCATATCAATATCAATTTCATACCGCTGCGGCGCGCAGCCCGATCCCATACTCAGTCCAAAATCACATAAGCCTCTTGAGCACATTAATATAGAAATATTCAGCCCAAACTTTATTAAAATAATTAGTTTGAGAAAAGGTAGCTGAGTTTGCAATATAGTATTAATTTCTAGAACTGAGTTCAATAGTATGTAAAAATGGTAAGAAACCAGTAATAGCAATCCCTGAAGGATTCAATCAGTTGGCACGAAGCCCAAATATAGCAATCAGCTTAGCTTATAA